GGGAGAAGGCTGAAAGGGGCTTGGATCTTTTAGATTCAAGCCCCTTTCAGCCTTGCCGTAGGCTCCCGCGGGCTTGGGGGGGGAGGGCTAAAAGGGGCTTGGATCTTTTTGATTCAAGCGCCTTGCTGTTGGCTCCCGTGGGCTTGGGGGGGGAGAGAAGGCTGAAAGGGGCTTGAATCTTTTAGATTGAAGCCCCTTTCAGCCTTGCCATCGGCTCCCGCGGGCTTGGGGGGGAGAGAGAGAAGGCTGAAAGAAGCTGGAATCTAAAAGATTCATGTCTCCCGGCCTCCTCTTCCTTCTCCAGCGAGCCCGCTGCAGCAGGCTCACTAGAGAAGGCAGAGGAGGCGAGGATTCATGGCTGGCTTCCCTGCTTGGTCTCCTCCAGTTGCCCTGCAGCCGCGGAGCACCTGGAGAAGCTCGGGCAGGGAAGCCAGGGATTTAAAAAAAAACCCAGTCTCTCCGCAAAAGCGGAGAGGCTCAGGGGGGAGGCAGGCATGTCTGCCTCCATGCGCTCCCTGTCTCCAGCCAACCCGCTGCGTCTGTGATCAGGCAGGCAAAAAGGGAATATGAGGAGTTTATAGCAAAAAACATAAAGACCAACAATAAAACTTTCTTCAAATACATTAGAAGCAGGAAATCAGCCAAGAAGGCAGTGGGGCCCTTGGTTGACCAAGAGGTAAAAGGAGTACTGAAGTACAATAGGGAAATGGCTGGGAAGCTGAATGCATTTTTTTGCCTCTGTCTTCACTGTGGAAGATGAGAAGTGCTTGCCCACTCCAGAACCACTGATTTTGGGAGGGGTGTTAAAAGACCTGAGCAGGGGTCATTTCGTAGAAAAAGAGGTGCAGGAGCTCATTAGCATAATTTATTAGAGTATGCCACACCCCCTGACATAACCGGAAGTGTGTCAGAAGGCAACACCCACCGCTCAGGCTCCACCCCAAAAATCTCCAGGTATTTCCCAACTCAGAGCTGGCGAGCCTACCTGATGGCACCCATGGAGAAAAACAAACAAACCACCCATGTCAGGTAAAGAGGGGAGATACCAGGATACCAGGTCAATATATTTTTATTCTCCTTGGCATTTATTTATTTATTAGATTTTTACCCCGCCTTCCCAGCAAGACCAGCTCAGGGTGGCTTACAACAATATAAAACAGTACACTAAAAGTGAGGTACTTTTAGTGTTCCTTTTCTGTTTGACTGGCAGCCTTCCTCTGTTATAGTTGACTGTGGGTTTTATATCACTGCCATTTAATCCACAATAAGGTCACTTTCAGAGAGGAAAAGCAGGTTATCCATTTTTAAATAAATAATGTTGAAAAGTCTGGATCCAGAACAACAATGAAATCACATCCACTAATTTTTGCCTAAACAAAACTCAATGATCTAGAGTTGTGGTCTTCAACCTAGGGGTTGAGTGGCAGACAGAGACACTAGAACATCCCACACTGCTCAATAATTCAATTCCCTTTAGTCCAAGACAAGGCATTCCTTCAAAAGTTTTCAGAAAGACCATAATCTCCCCCCACCCCACTCCCTTAGAAACCCAAGAACAGTTAATGAAATACTGCAGGTTTCTGACAAGTACAAAAGATGCTCAAAACGACAGCATCAGAGCCAAAGCAGTGTTTAAAGTCCAATCCATTTAAAGCAACAGTACACAATAAACTCACACCTCCAAGTCCTAGCAAGACTAAAAGTCTTCCTTTAAGTTCCACTGACAGGAAAAGTTGGACCAAGATAGGGGCAGCCTTTCAGAGGATGCCAGGGAAGTTGCTGACCTAGTTGCAACCTCTAAGCCAGGACTTAACAGGTGAGATGGCTACAGATGGTAGACAACAGAAGTGTGCTCAAGCCCCACCCAGCGTGAAGAATCACTTACAGCTCACTCCTGCCTCCTTGGCAGCTGTTTCTCTGGGGAAGGGTAGGAATCAGGATCACAACAGGCACCACGCCAGCCGCACAAAGGCCTCCACACATTCCTAGGTGGGTGCGCCCCCCGCCTAACAGCATATATGGGGTAGAAAGTAGGGAGTCCAAGTACTAGCCCAATCTACAGCCTCCCAGTAAAGCGGGAATGGTGGGGTCTCTCTTCCCCACATACCCCCCAACAATAGCTTATTAAAGGCTCCAGGCTCAGAGCAGTGGGGTGTGGCGATCCTCCCATTCCCTACGCAAGCCAGGAAAAGTGGGGATGCTGCCTGCTGCCAGAAGCATCCAAAGAGAAGAATAAACATGCAACATGCGCAGAAAAGAGACCCAGGCTTAGACAGCGTAAGGAGCACGGGTAGCCCTTAAAACAGCAACTTACAAAAGCCTTTCCTGGATCTCGCTTAGCGCAGGCCTGGAAAAACAAGGGGATTTGCAGAAGGGTTGCGCTGGGCCCACAGACCCCCAAACTCCTAGCCAGCCACCTTCCCTCTGCATGTACCCTCCCTCCCAGGGGGGCAGCCAGCTCCTGTTGTGCCTGCCCCAACTCACCCTGGCTGCAGCCTGGGTCGCCGCCTCCGCTCCAGCCAGCTCAGGCTCCTCCAGTGAGTCCTGCAAGCTGAGCTGCCCCACCATCGCGCCCCAAGCGCCACTGCTCTGCCCGCCACAAGTCTCCGGCCGCCTCACCATGCTGCACCACCTCGCCTCGTGCCGCCATGTGCGCCGATGCACCTTGTGCCGTCTCATGTGCCCACTTGCCTCATGCCACGCCGCCTCCCCGGATTGCCCGCCAGACCTCACGCGGTGCTGCGCCTCGTGTCGCCTCGCATTCCCACTCGCCTTGTGCCACACTGTCTCCCGTGGATCGCCCACCAGACCTCGCGCACCACCACGCCTCGTGTCACCTTGCGTG